GTGGGGGGGGGGTATTTACATTGATTTACAGCGGAATGAGATGTGTCTTGTACACCGGGAAGGTGTAGACTGCAAATTCGAGTGTAAATGGCTCAGGAGAGACGGAAGAGGCACGGGGCGTGCTGTGTTCTCCACACCCTCCCCCGCCCGTGTAACCTCGCTGGCTTCTACGCCACGGAAATCTTCATCATATGAAGAGGTTTGCATGACGTTGCGGGCTGCACGTCACGTGGTAATGACGCTTAATTACAACGCTTCATAACGGTCTCCTTAAATCATAAGAAACAGTAATTGCTCGCGTCTTGCTTTATATGGGGATCCTACTTAATGAGCAGTGTGACTTCATTCGCAGATGACTAACCTACCGACAGAGGTGATGTAGCCCTCTTACAGAAGTCGTCAGACTAGACCGATAAACCGAGGTCAGCTATAGCCGTTCCTTGTCTAGGGATGCCCTAGTTTTAAATATCGGCCCTGAAACTGACTACTTTCATTAAAGTTTCTCTTGATTTTTCTCAGACCCTCCAACCAAATGCAGGGACAGCAGGTTCAATATTAGCAAGCCTGCAGCCTGTAATTTCATTTGCTGCAACATCATTAAATAAACAACTGCACGGGATATTCACACATAAGAACAATATATGAATATTCATGGCCGTCAGGAACTCAAATCCTATCTCCTGTAATTAGTCTGAGCATATCAGTGTTTGTCTGTCTGTCGTTAATATGGAAACCAAATGTAAAACTGATCTCGGTTATTGAGCTGCGACGAGACTAGAAGCTAACTGTAATAAGCGGCAGTGCTTCAGTCGGTATTACAGTTTGGACGTTTGCCGAAAAAATGTGTACAATAAACACTCGGTAATCCGGATTAATTTGGGGGGAGGTCATCAGGGTTAAACGACAAACCGGATTAGTGAAGTAAAATATAGCCCTAAAAGACCAAAAAGTTAGAAAACAAAAGTAAATGAAAAATTTGATTACATAAGCAGTGCTGATGAAAGTAAATAACAAAATATCACTGTAGAGCCTTCATTTAAGAACTACAAAAAGACAGTACATTTATTCATCGATAGAAGACTCAGAAGCTGTACTTGTTTCTGAGCGTAACAATGCAGGTTTGAAGAAACTGTCTCAAGTTCTGTCTGAACAGACAAGTGACTCATCTGCCTTCCTGAATGTCATGTGTCTTTTTTAAAGTACGTACTCAACTGTGAACAGCATTTTTCACACAGAATTACTGGGCTTCTGGACATCTTCCATTGTATGAAATTCTAATAAATATAAAACACGACGTTTCGGAAACTGGATCTGTTTCCGTCTTCATTCCTCACCTGAGGACGGAAACAGATCCAGTTTCCGAAACGTCGTGTTTTCTATTTCATAGAATTGCAGACGATGGAAAAAGTTTAAAAACCCGCAGTAATTCTGTGTGTTACCCACCACCGTCAGAGCCCTTTAGAAGCATTTTTCACATTTCGATCCGAATTACCCATAACCGGATTAGCGAGGGTTGTTATTATTATTATTATTATTCCCAGCTGTTTTCTCAGAATTGTTCAAGGTTCACAGCGTACATATCCCGTGAACTGTGTAATAGTGGACCAATGCAAACCGTAGCTAGATATAGGAACTGTCATATTTACCCGTTGAATTTTCAATGCGTGTTCCACAAGTCTCGTAAAATTTATGCGTCCTCGAAACAGCCAAAACGATCCAAAAGAATCCCTTTCGATGTTGTGATAACAACTGCCACGCCATCTGATTCGCCGAGCCTGTAATCCAAGTCGACCTCGCATGTACTGCGTTGTAGCAAATGTGTACATGTGTGGGATATTCTTCCCCCAGAGGATTATGGTACATAAATGTGAAACATTAATACACACATCTGGTCCTGCAGCCGTCATGGATTCAAATTCTATCAATACCTCGAAGGGATCCGGGACAGCGATGGGCCACTGGCAGGACGGTTGGGTTTCAACGCCCGGCAGGATTAAGATATTTTTTTCTTCTCCATAGCGCACAGAGCGGCTCTCGGGCCCACCCAGCCTCCTGTCTAATGTATACCGTGGCCGATTCCCGTAGGCTAAAGCGACCAGGGCGTGAAGCTGACCACTCACCTCCATCTAGTGCAGAGGTCAAGAATGGTGGAGCTATACCTCCACTCCCACATATGTCTTCATGGCATAGTGCTTAATTTTTTTATTGCTAGTGGGGTGGGACTAAGTCCCTTGTACTGCGGCCACTTCTGACCTATTGTACCAGCCCCAGATGATAGGTGAGGGTGATTGTGGAGCAATTGGTGGAATGAAGATTGGCAGGGGAAACCGAAGTACTCGGAGAAAACCTACCCCAGCGCCACTTTGTCCACCACAAATCCCACTTGACCAGACCCGGCATCGAACCCGGGCCGCCGCGGTTGGAAGCCAGCGACAGGCATCCTTACCAGTCACCAGTCATCCGACCAGTCAACGTTATGTACCATGAAAGGCAGACCAGAACCGACAAAACAAATTCACACCAGGACGAAGAAGACGCCAAATGTTAACGTCGGAGAGGGTAATAGCCCTTTGAAGCTCAGTAGTAACTATGTACACCATCTGCTTTAACATTCAGAAATTGTAGGGCTCATTAATATGAATGCAGGCGTTGCATATAATTACCAATGTCCCATAAAGCAGCAATTTCCTCTCGCCCGATGTGAATGGAAATGTTTGGGGGCCATAAACTTTTTTAAAAAGTGAATTAAAACGTGATTTAACCATTTAAAACAAAATAATTATCCATAAAGATGAGTATGAACGCCTTTTATTTTAAATTATATGTTTGTAATTTGACGTGGACTGTTAAGATTAAAATATTATTAAGCATCTCTATTATCGGACCATTTTTTGTTTCGGTGCCCCCCGAAAAATTCTTCGCTGCCTTCACGGGGCCGGTGCTTTCGCACTGGGTAACGCCACTCTAAAGGTTAATCGCCCGAAGGGTACAGAGAGGCTTTATGTGTTCTGTGTGCTCTGTACGCGACATCCCCATGCTAACACACACGTTACCATGGCAATCAATAGTGCGACGGCGATTTGCTGTGTTTCATACGAGGTTCGCGTGCTGAAGCAAGGCATTCTCATGAGATACATCTGCTGTGTTGCCTGTTGCAGCATCCCTCAGGAGCTGCGAGATGGAACACTGAAATACAGTCAGTGCCAAATGTTTGACCGCAACTACTCAACTCTACTGGTGCAGATCGAAACTGAGGAAGACCTGGATCGTCTGGAGCAGCAAATATCTGCCATCAACCTGTCTCTGTCCACCACAGGATGTTTGCATGGATGGAACTTTGACTACACGCAGTACGCTACTACCATTGTAACTGAGGTAGGATATGGCCTTATTTACACGCGTAACACATTGGGAAAGCCCGTTGAAATTTAACGGCGCATCATTTCTTTCGTGTTTGTTGTCCTTCACTCCCTGCGTTGCGTTCCTTTATAAGTTACATCTGTGTACTTAATATGATACAGTTGCAACCTGTATAAGTATGTGGGAACTACTGCGGCGTGAGGCATAGAAACCTATACATAGTCTCAAATAACCTTCCGTCACAGGAGCAAATGCGTACGCACAGAAACTGTATATATATGTTCACTTGATTTAATTACTGGAAATGAGGTTTGGTTTGCTAATCGGATTTATTGAACGCAACTACAGATAACTGCGACAGTGTCGCCGAGTTACACACTGTTAACTACAGCATACATAAAGTCTTCTCAGTCTTGTGTAGCCGTTGTTTGGTAGCGGCTTCCAATTGCGGACGTTCCTCTTCCTCTGGGTTCTCGAACTGTCTCCGGCCTCAGCTACCAGCTTCTCAATTCTCACAACTGCAGCTCTCAACTGAAACAACCAAACACTCAAATCAAAGTCAAACTCAAAGTTACTTTACGATTGGCGACTTACCGCCAATCAGTTCGTGTTAGCGCCGAGCCCCTTAAGGCTCACTACCAGAGACTGAACCCTTGCAGCGATAGTCCAGTCGTTATACCCGTTGCGCTATCCCGGCTCCTAAAAATATGTATATATGAATTCGCGGGTCTCATGGCGGTGTCTATGAATAATCGCCTCCATTTTAAATGTAGAAGTGTAAACTAGTCTCATTACTTGGTCTTACAGTGCAGGAGTCCCTGCTCTATGTACATCGCCCTTCTCAGTGTCACGGTACACTCGCACTCACAGTGACTAACGCTCAAAGCCAGAAATTGGGAGTGAGGATTAGAATTGCATCGTAAAAGCTCCAGCACATCGTTTTAACACCCGTGGGTGCCGTACATATTGGTAAGAGTGTGGAATGAGTTTAATATTATATTTTGATGTTCTTTATTAGATCCGCGATGGAGGAATAGAATATTTAAACACTTTCTTGAATTACTCTTCTACCTGAAGACGGAGACAGAGGGTTCCTCCAAAATGTTTCTAATTATATTCCAGACTGTACGGCATCACATCCGACAAGGCACAAATTTTTAAGGTTGTAAAAAGTCGTGTTTCATATAATATGGCGAGTTCTTTGAACATATGAGCGACTATCAGCTTTTAGAGATGAGCTCTGCTCCGTGATGTTACAAGGCAGATGTAATCATGATGCACTCCCTGGCGGGAGGGGGGATGGGTTTGTTGGGTGCAATCGCACTCGAGCGTGAGGGTTATACTGAGACACAAGGATGATGGATGCTGCTGACTAACGACATGATACAGGAAGAAAAAGTACCTTTAAAACACAAGGTAATTATATTTACCACCTGGTTTAACATAAAACGAAGTCAGCCCACAGAGTGTATCAGTGTGCTCCGTATGGTTCTCACAATAAACAGCGACTGTTTCCCTAAACAGCATTAACCGGTTGGGCTTTGTAGCGGAGACGTAATGTGTTTCCTCTGAGGTACGGACTGAATTGCTATATATTCTGCCCACACAGTGTATCTGTGTGTTCCGTATGGTTCTCACAATAAACAGCGACTGTTTCCCTGAACAGCATTAACCGGTTGGGCTTTGTAGCGGTGACGTAATGAGTTTCCTGTGAGGTACAGACTGAATTGCTATATTCCTTGCTAGACGGTAAAGTACTCGTATGTTATTGAGCCCCTTTAGGACTCGGAAGCAAGTCACAGTACTGGCGAGGGCCAGCAGCAATTTAGAAGTCAGACAAGTTTCAATTCAGTGTCGAAGCATCGATCTCAAGAGTCATTTGATTCTAACAGTAACTGTGTAAAAGGCAACAGCATAACCCGACCAGCACATCTGCGCGTGCTATCAGAATGCGAACTCCTACAACACAGCTATGCTCGTATTAACCCGAGTAACCACCGTGCTCCGAGGTGTTAACGTCTTTGAACCTCGCATTTTCCGGACTTAAAAGCAGGCGAAGTTTTACCTGTGCTTAATTAACCACTGCGACATAAAGACGTATGGGGGACTGAAGGTACAGCTGTATGCATGTAAGTCATCGCCACGCCCTTGCCCCTTTACTCACACGAATGAAGAGCCCCTGGTATCCTCTGTATAGGAGATTCCATGGCCCCACAGCCGTTCTCTTGCCCCTGCCAAAAACCGATCTATTATTTATTGATCGTCGATAACGTGGAATAGTCACTATACTTACTGAGCTCCTCCTGCTTCAATAGAGACAATTTTATTGTTTTACATTAGGGTTTAAGGCCATCATTAATTTTTAGTCTCCAGACAAAGTTCGTAATTGAAGAAGGGCGTTTAGTCCGCGACAGGAGATGCAGAGAAACTTAAGAAGAAAACGTTTTCTTGTTTATGGTGTCGGCCGCTTTACATAATTATACGCCGTGTCCTCAGCCTCCGCCATTAAACAGCTGAAGGCAAAAATATTCCCCGCTATTCTTCCTGCAAGGTCTTCACATTTTTCTCCCCAATTATATTCTTTGCTGTAGAACCGGTTGCCATGACACCCAGTGTTTAGTGCATCTCCAGAGCGAAGGATTCTTCTTAAGTTTTACCTCCTGAATCTTTCTCGCTAAGCAGAAAATTTCTCTTTGATCAGAAAGTCAGAATTTCTCAGTATTGCGCCCATTCCATTTTTACACCCTAATAAGTTTCAACATTAAGATTCAGGCCCAAGGATTCATAGCATTAGAGATATTTAATGATACAAAAATATGAAGAAGATAGTCTGACACCTCATTATTTCGCGTCGAATGATTAACATCGCGCACCATGTTAGCAGAATAATGTTAGCAATTCAGAGTTCATTAAAGTGAGTCCAGTGGTTACGGAGTTCACATTTGCGGACTGCCTGTCAGATACACTCGTTCCTATATGCTCCCTTGTCTTCAGGGAAGTGACACCGTATAGAGTGGTAAACTGGTACCAATTTTGCGCTGGAACCTGCAGCCTCCATCCTCAATATTATATAATTCAGAAGAAACAAAATATCAATGGCCGATCAGAGAACCATGTGGATGGCGTACGCTCGTGGTTTCGAACCTCACCCGGAGCATAGACCTTTATCTGCGTCTCTCCTCTCCTGCGTTAGTAGAGACCTTACGAAGGTGGGGTTCCCCATGCAGGGTCTACAGCCAAATGTTCATAGGATCTAGGGTAGCTCAGTTGGTATAATGACGAGCTAGAAGGCATGGGTTTGATTCCCGGAAAGGCAAGATATTTTTGCTTTCTTCACAGCGTCCATATCGTCTCTGTGGTCAACCAGCCTCCCATCCGATGGATGCGGTGGGCTCTTCCCTGGAGGTAAAGCGGCCGGAGCATGAGACTGACATGTGAACTCTAGTTCCGAGGTCAAGAATGGCGGAAATATACCTCCACTTTCCCCTACGTCTTGATGGGTTTGTTCTTAATCAAATAGTGGGCGAGTTTTACCTTTTACCAAATATGTATACAAATTACAACAATGTTGCCATGAAAGTAATTGTGTATTCTTAATGTGAGACGGACTATAGTTGTCTGCTGCGACGAATATGGAAACCTTGAGATGTCGAGTCCCCGTCATTACTTCCCACCCTTTGCCAGACGCCGACGCCGCCGCCGGGTTCGCAAGAATATTGGGAGCATTCAATTTATGGTCAAAGGAATCGTAGCGCGGGGTTGGAGGGGGATTGCTTCGATTGCAACTTTATTGCTTCGCTCCAGAGGTCATGCGGTCTCTGCTCTGGACCTCATGTTGCCCCCCCTCCTTTTTTTGTTGAACCTCTGTTCCAAATTACGCCGATTTGTCACGAACGTGTCCCGCAACATTCCTCAATTTTCTTTTCACAGTCACATCAGGTATGATCTGTATTAGAAACTGAATTCAGAGGTTCAAACCCGTTTTATGTAGCGGTGGTAATTATGTATGCCATATGGCCGCGCCATAGCTCAAGCGGTTAGTCGCTAGCTTCCCACAGCGGCGGCCTCGGTTCGAGCCCGGGTCTGTTCAAGTGGGTTTTGTGGTGGACAAAGTGGCGTGGGGCGGGTTTTCTCCGAGTACTTCGGTTTCCCCTGCCAATCTTCATGCCACCAAATTCTCCATCATCATAATCACCCGGGACAGGTACAATAGGCCAATCAGTAGCCGACGTGCCGAGTGGACCCAGCTGGACGTACCACTTGATTTAACGTCAGGTAACAGGACGTCTCCTCTACAGAGGCCGAGAGGTCCGTTCTGTCAGCAATGAGCATGAAGAGTATTACTGTCTGATGTGAAGACGTGTAGAGATTAAGTGACGTTTCGGAGGAACGTACTGCACACGTGTTCAGTGTCTCAGAATATGCCAAGCAACTAGAAACCAGAGGGTCCTGCAATCTGCCCTTGCCTCTTGGAAGTTTCTTGCTAGTCTTACTCTTCGACCTTTAATATGGAGGTAGTATGTTCCCCCCGAAACGTCGGTTGACTTACACCGGAATACACGGCGATTGAACACTTCATAGCCGCCGCTGTGAGAACCTCAGGCGCCGCCCTGTCCCAGTAAGAACCGGAAATCCTGTTTGGACTGCGGTGTTTTGTCGAAAGGGACCCTGTCAGACACAGGTTACAGAAAGGGGAATCCCTGATTTATGCTGCCAGTTGCTTCAGGGCCGATGGCGAAGTCCAGTGCTCTTAGAAGGAAGAAACAGAGGCACGAGGTTAGCAATAAAAGCGAAAACAAAACAAAAACTCTAAGAAATCACAACAGATATCCTATATCCAGTCACAATAGCTCAGTCGGTATGGAGTTCGAGTCCCGGTAGGGGCAAGACTTTTCACTCATCCATGTCGTCTAGACTGGCTGTGGGGTCCACCCAACCTCTTATACATAGGATAAAGTGGCCGGGGCGTGAACCTGACCAGTCACCTTCAACTAGTGCCGAAGTAAAAAAAAAGT